CTGTGGGTCTGGAGATCCTAGTTCCAAAGGGAGGCATACTCCCATCTGAAGCCATGATTACACTGAACTGGAACTTAACAATGCCACCTGGCCATTTCTGGCTGCTCATGCCTGTGGATCAAAAAGTAAAGAAAGGAGTTACTGTGTTATCTGGAGTGATTGCTCCTGAATACCAAGGAGAAATTGGATTTGTATTGCATCATGGTGGTAAAGAAGAATAACAGGGGACTCCTCAGAACGCCTCTTAGTACTGCCGTGCCCTGTGATTAAAGTCAGTGGAAAACTATAGCAACTCAATTCTGATACGTCTACTAATGACCCAGACCCTTCAGGAATGAAGGTTTGGGTCACCCCATCATGCAGAGAACCATAACCGGCTGAGGTGTTTGCTGAGAGCAAAAGGAGCAGAGAATGGGTGGTAGAAGAGGGAGTTCTAAGCACCAGCTGTGGCCGTGTGGCCGCTTGCAGAAATCCAGACTGAGTATTAGGAGTGTGTCTTCCTTGTACGTGTGCATCAGATGGTTCTGCTTTCTTATCAAATACAAGATGTAAATGGGGCTAGTATGTTTTTGGTATTACACGTTTTAGTTGTGTCATGTTAGGCACAAATATGATTTTATAATTATTTTTATTTAGAGATTACATACGGTTTAAGGAGATGTATACAGGTGCCAAGTTAACGAGTGTGATGGTTAAGACTGTGTCAGCTTGGCTGAGCCATGATTGGCAGTGGTTTGACAGTTCTAATGTAGTGTGTCAATTATGTACTGATGTTGTCATCCCCTGATGAGAATTGATGTAACGTGGTCACTTTTGTGTTGCGATCTGCCTTGAGCATCCAGTCAGCTGAGAGGGCGTTTCCTGCCCAGTGTGCATGAACATTCTGGCAAAGGTCTCCGCCTTTTTGCTCAGTCTGGATCCTGCATCTGGATCCCCAGCATCTCACCTTCAGTTCTTTGCACTTGTGCCAACAGCCTGCCCTCTGACCTGCCAGTCTTGGGTTAGTCAGCCCCTGCACCTCCGTAAATCAGAAGCCTCCAGCCTGCCTTCTGACCCACAGACTTGGAACCTGCTGGCCTCTACAACTGCATGAACCATTTTCTTGAGATAAATCTCTTTCTCTTTGTGTGTACGTGTATAACTTCACTGGTTTTGCTTTTCTAGAGAGTCCAGCCTAAAACAGCAGCTGAGTGCTTCAACCACTGTGCCACCAGGGTTCCTGAGATGTCTCCAAGTCTCCTTTAATCTGTAGGCTTGCTCTTTTCCTGTTTTTTACCTCAGTTTCTGTGTATAAGTCCTTGGCGGTCTACACTAAGGTGCTCCCTGTCCTCGACATACCATGTCACTTGATCAGCTGACCCAAGGCTCAGGCAGGCTCAGATTCTATGGTTTTGTTTTGTTCTTGTCTTTTGTTTTAGCAACACTGCTTCTGTCAGGGGCATGTGGCATCTGCTTCACTGTAATGGTAAGCTGGTGAGATCACTGTGGCCCATTAATTCACTAGAGGGCATGGCTTGTCATTGTGAAATTCTGTGGTTGTTTTTCATTAATTAGCCAGAATAATGCCACAAAGACAACTTCCTCTTTTGTACTTCTTGATTAACTAGTGGTGCCATTTTCACAGTCACTATATCTTCCCAGTGTGACCCCTTAGACTAGAGTTCTCTTTTAAGAATCATTATGATTCATGGATTTAAGTTAGAGCTTCCAGCTGGTTCATTCCAGTTTGACTCCCAGCTGAGGAATTGCATTTCTACCGGATATATTCAGTTAGAGTCTACAGTGCATCAAGATCCCAGGTGATTCTTATATTTACATAAGGCTCACTTGAGGATCTAGTTAAAATGCAGATTGTGATTCAGTATGTCTGGTATGGAAATGCAGATTCTCAGCAGGGGGCTGAACCTGAATGAACGAGTTTGAAACCTTAAGTTAAGCATATTCAGTGTGTTTCAGTACCTTGTAGATATTACTCTTTGATATTCAAATTTCCCCATCATTGGCCAGTGGGACTTCTTCAGAGTAGCACCCGAGTCCTCTGGATAAGATCTTGGCAGTCTGTGAAACACTGTCATATGCACTTCCTTAAACTTGGTAGCACATGTCTCCAGGTTGCCGGTTGCTCTCAGTGGGAAGTGGGATTTGAGGATGACGGTCTTGGAGCTAGACTGCTCACTGACCCTAGATTAGGCATATTTTTATAAAGCAGGAAATTAGACTTACAGTTCCAATTGCCATTCATTGCTACAAAGCTGACTTCATTGAGTTCCCATCTGTATGTTTCACTAAGCTTAGAATCCTGGTCCTTAACATCCCCAGATATGATAGAACTAAAATGTCACACAATTACTCGCTTGCTGTATCCCACAGTGGTGTAGTGGATAAGGCACTTGACTGCTGACCTGAAGATCAGCAGTTCAAACCCACCAGCTGCTCCACAGAAGGAAGATGGGATGATCCACTTCTATAAAGATTTACAGCCTTGGAAACTGTGTTGGATTGGGTTCTCTAGAGAAACACAAAAACCAGCAAAGTATATATATATATATATTTATAGAGAGAGAAAGAGAGAGAGAGAGAAATTTATCTTAGATAAATGGCTCACAAGCGTGTAGAAGCCGACAAGTTCAAGCTGAAAAGTTCGTCTCTGGAGGGGGATGGGGCCCAGGGCCGTCTGGCTTTCGCACGCACGGCAGAGGAGTTCAAGTCACAAAGTTCGTCTCTGGAGAGAGATGGGGCCCGGAGTCGTCTGGTTCCCGTAAGCACAGTAGAGCCGAGTGAATCAAGCTGACACGCAGTGCGCTGGTCGCTGTTCCCAACAAAGAATGAATCTGAAAACCTCCAGGGCGAGCAGCGAGCTGCTCGCTCCAGGAAGTATATAGTCCGGAATGCCGTTCTTCCAGTTTGTCCCTGGGATAGTATTGCAGGTAGGCCACACCCCTGGGGAAACTCCCCCTAGGCCGACCAGCCGCTTAGAACGCAGTCATGTGATCCATCATGGGAACCACCACTCACAACTGGAGTCCAGCCAAGTTGACACATCTTCAACTATCACAGAAACCCAATGGGGGTCGCTGTGAGTCAGAAACGACTTGACGGCAGTGGGTTTGATTTGGTTTTTGGTTTCTGTCCCAGTGGACAGTATGAATACCAAGAGTAGTGTAAGGTGGTTTTTTGTTATTTTGGGATCAAAACACTTAATCTAAGAAAATATAAGAAAAGGAAACACAGCAGTGTTAAGAGTGGCAAAAGCTTTTTCTAAGCAAGGCAAAGAGCCCAGAGCCACCAGCTGAAGGCTGGTCAGGAAGGTTCATAAATTATATGTTCTACCAAATAAAAAGAAAATTCTGTAAAAACAAAAGCTACCGCAGTGTAAAAACCCGCAAGCTCCTGTTCAAGTGCTTGGAGGGCAGGCCAACCTGCCTGCCCTGTGAAGGCAGCCCAGGGCCCCCCTGACCCGTGTCATACCTGTGTTAATCCTTAGTGTGGGCCTTTTGCGCTCTGCATGGAGAAGAGAACCCTCCTGCTGAGGTTCTCATCCAAGCTATGTGTCCCATGGTCAGTGGCATCGTGATGGCTCTTTGCAGCAGGTCTTTGGAGCACCAGCCATGCTGGGCCATGGATAGGGCCTGTCTGTCAGAGTTGGTTCCAGAATCTGGCCTCCTTGAATGTCACCTCATACTGTTCTGCCCAGGAGCCATGTGGCACAGAGTACATTTGGCTGTTGAATGGAAAGAGCAGTGCCTAGGACGCACTGTATCCAGAAGGGACCAGCAGAGCAGGAGCCTGTGCTCCCTCCTGCCTCCTCTGCAGTGACCCTCCCTTGCACCTGCTGATTGTGCTTTACCCCCTTGCTGCACTGAGTGTCTTGCTTTAATCTCTCTCCTAGTACATAGAAACAAGCTGCTGTTATTTTTTCCCCCTTTATTTGTGGTGAGAACACATAAGACATTCACCAACATAACAGCTTCCACATGGACAGCTCAAGGACACTGATGACATTTTTCATGTCGTGCCACCATTATTGCTATTCTTTTCCAAACTATTCCACCACCATTAGCATAAACTCAGTGCCTTGCAAACAGAAGCTTCCCCTTTCCCACTCCCTCCTACCCCCATATATAATCTTTGATAGACATTTTTTTTCCCTCAACCTATCTAGGAGTTGTCCCCACCCCTCACCTCCATCCCTAGTAACCAACGAAGAAAGTTCTCTTCCATATATAAATCTTTCCATGACCTTTTATGATAGTGGATTAATACAATATTTGTCGTCCTGTGATTGACTTACTTCACTCAGCTTAATATCCTTGAAGTTCATCCACATTACACAGTGAGAAACCAGCTTCTTCAGGGAAGGCACACTTGACGTACAATGGGTGCTCTGTAAACTGAGAAAAAAATATGAAGTGATTTCTCTTTTGGACGAATCTGCACTGAATGGTTTTGAGAGTCAGTGATTTGACTCACATTTTTTGTGAAGCTCAAAGTCAGGAGCAACCACAATCTTACACTTTTTTAGAAGCCGTCGCTGGTAGTGGAGGTTGTGAGTCAACTTGGTTGGGCTATGAGTCTGAGTGGCTCAGTAGCTGCATGGAGTTACTCCCCATGATGAGACTGGATGTTGTGTAGTCCCCTCCATGGTGGAATCAACCGTGAGCACTTAATCAGTTGCCTTCGGGGTGTGGCCTGCTTCCAGTATATACAGAAAGGGTCCTGCATTTGGTTGTCTTCATCTCTAGTTCTGGACTTGAACAGTGGCCTGCCATTTTACCTGCCCATCTTTGGTTCATCAGCTCCAGTGGCCTGGAACAAGAGCTAGAGCTGAAGCCCAAGATCAAGACCTTTTACCCAGACCCTAGAGCTGGCACACTGTATTCAGACTTCTAGCCTCCTAAACTGTAAAAGAAAAAATTCCTGTTTGTTAAAGCTGTTATTTCTGTTATGGCAGTACTAGAGAACTAAGACACCATCACTTAAGACACTTTTCTTTTTCCTAGGTGATGTCAGGCGTCCAAAGCACGTCCAACAGACTGATCTGGCTGCAACACTGGCAGTAGGGCTGGGCTTGCCAATTCCAAAAAACAGCGTGGGGCGTCTTTTATTCCCAGTTGTTGAAGGAAAACCAATGCGAGAGCAGTTGCGATTTTTACACTTAAATACAGTGCAGCTCAGCAAGTTGTTGCAAGAGAACGTGCCACTGTATGAGAAAGGTAAGTTGGTCACTAATTCCTTAAAAAGCTGGAATTGGAGATACCATTTGACCCAGCCATCCCATTACTAGGTATATATCCTGAAGAAGTGAGAGTCAGGACAAGAACAGATATATGCACACCCATGGTCATCGCAGCACTATTTACAATAGCAAAAAGATGGAAACACCCTCTGTGCCCATCAACAGAAGAATGGATAACCAAACTATGGTACAGACACACAATGGAATACTGTGCAACACTAAAGAATAACATGTTGTTGTTGTTGTTATTATGTGCTGTTGAGTCGGCCCCGACTCATAGCGACCCCTCCTTGGGTTTTTGAGGCAGTATCACTACGGAAGTAGGATTGCCCATCCTTCCTTCCGAGGAGTGGCTGGTGGGTTTGAACCGCCAGCCGTCTGGTTAGCAGGCAAGTATCTTAGCCACTATGCTACCAGAGCTCCCAAAGAATAACATAGAATCTGCAAAACAGCACATAACATGGATGAACTTGGAGGACATTATGTTGAGTGAAATAGGATCACAAGGACAAATACAGTATTAGTTCATTATTTTATATATGGAAGGAAACTTTCTTTGTTGATTACCAGGTGTTGGGGGGGGGAGGAAACACACACACACACACACACACACAAACATTGATCCATGGGGGGAAAAGAGTTGATCCCTAATCTCTGACTTCTGTTGGGACTGTCTCTCTCCACTGAACAAGTTCTGTGGAGAGTTTAGTGAAAGGAATGCTTTCTGGTCGGTGTTGCTCACACAGGTTGTGATCCTGGTTCCCTGGAGCACTGTCACCAGATGCAACATCCATGCAGTTATCTGAGCTCTTGCATAAATTTCTCCCCTTCACGTCCCCTTCTCTCCTTTTCCCTCCCCTCCTCCCATCTTCTTCCCTCATCTTCTTCCTCTTCCTCCCCTCTCCTTTCTCATTTCCCCTCCACTCTGCCCTTCTTTTGGGGGAATCACTTTTCCCTTCATTCAGGGAGTTTCCATGCCTTTGTACAGGGACAGAAAGGACTAGCTTTCCTCATGCTCCCTCTCAGTTGCATGGGTTGACGGAGACCACTTCTTCCCCAGGATTCATGGCCTTCTTTGAGATCTTTCCCGGGAGCCCTCCTCTCCTGCCTTGGCTGCGTCTCACAGCAGTGTTTGGTCTCCCAGATGTGGCCCTCTTGGGGGTTTTATCTGGGAAACACTTGTTCCTTTCAGCCTGGTTAAGTCACCTTGTCTGGGTCTAGGTCAGTGTCTGCATGCTTTCAAGTGAATGTTTTCGGTGCTGTCAAGTACATTTTGACTCATAGTGACTTTCTGTCCAACAGAACGAAACTCTGCCCAGTCCTGCACCATCCTTATGGCTGTCGCTGTGCTTGACCTCATCGTAGCCACACTGTGTCGCTCCATCTTGCTGAGGCTCTTTCCCTTTTTCACTGACCCTCTTCTTTACCAGCAGGACGTTCTTGTCCAGGAACTGAGCCCTCCTGATAACATGGCCAAAGAACGAGAGAGAAAGTCTGGCCTCTCTTGCTTCCAAGGAGCATTCTGGCTGTCCTTCTTCCTGACAGATTTGTTCATTCTTCTGAGTCCATGGTATATTTAGTATTCACCAACACCATAATTTAACTACATCTCTTCTTTGGTCTTCCTTATTCATTGTCCAGCTTTCACATTTATGTGAGGCTATTGAAAAGACAGTGGCTTGGGTCAGGCACAGTTTTGTCTTCAAATTGACATCTTTGCTCTTTAACAGTTAATCCCTTGTAGCAAGTTTGTCCAATGCAATATGTGGTCTGATTTCTTGATTGCTGCTTCCATGGGTGTTCACTATGATCCAAGTAAAACCAAACCCCTGACAGTTTCAATCTTTCCTCCATTTTTCATGATATTGCTTATAGATCCAGTTGTGAGGATTTTCATTTTTTTTTATGTTGCAGTGTAATCCATACTGCAGATTGTAGTCTTTAATCTTCATCAGTAAGTGCTTCAGGTTATCTTTACTTTCAGTAAGCAAGGTTGTATCATCTGCATACTGCAGGTTGTTAATGAGTCTTCCTGATGCTGTGTTCTTCATATACTCCAGCTTCTCGGATTATTTGCTCAGCATACAGATTGAATAAGTATGGTGAAAGGATACAACCCTGACACACACTTTTCCTGATTTTAAACCATGCAGTATTTCCTTGTTCTGTTTGAACGACAGCCTCTTGGTCTATTTACAGGTTCCTTATGAGCACAATTAAAACTCAAAAAAAAAACCCAAACTCACTGCTGTCAAGTCAATTTGATTTGTAGCGACCTCTCCTTGGGTTTCTGAAGTGGTATCTCTATGGAAGTAGATTTCCCAGTCTTCCTTCTGAGGAGTGGCTGGTGGGTTTGAACCACTAGCCTTCTGGTTGGCAGTCAAATGCCTTAGGCACTGTGCCACCAGAGCTCTTATTCTTCTCAGTGTTATGCATAATATGTTGTGATCCACACAGTAGGAAGCCTTCACAAAGTGAAGCCTTTACAAATTAAAGCCTTACACAGGTAAACATCTTTCTGGTATTCTTTGCTTTCAGCCAAGATCCATCTGACATCAGTAATTATATCCCTCATTCCACACCCTCTTCTGAATCTGCCTTGAATTTCTGGTGGTTCCCTGTCTATGCACTGCTGCAACCATTTTTTAATTATCTTCAGTACAATTTTACTTGCATGTGATATTAATGATATTGTTCGATTATTTCCACGTTCTGTTGGATCACTTTTCTTTGGAATGGGCAACAAATACGGATCTCTTCCAGTCAGTTGGCCAGGTAACTGTCTTCTAAGTTTCTTGGCATAAATAACTGAGCTCCTCCAGTGCTACATCTGTTTGTTGAAACATCTCGATTCTCTCATTTCCTGGAGCTTTTTCTCCAATTCCTTTAATGCCGCTTGGACTTCTTTTTTTAATACCATTGGTTTTGATCATTTTGATCCTAAAATGGTTAAATGTTGACCAGTTCTTTTTGGTACAATGACTGTGTATTCCTTCCATCTTCTTTTGATGCTTCCTGCATCATTCAGTATTTTACCCATGTTGTTGTTACGTGCCTTCAAGTTGGACCCGACTCATAGTGACCCCTCTTTGGGCTTCCCAGGTGGTATCACTACAGAAGTAGATTTCCCAACCTTCCTTCCACAAAGTGGCTGGTTTTGCCCATAGAATCCTTCAGTATTACAACTCGAGACTTGAATATTTTCTTTATTTCATTGGGAAATGCTGAGCGTGTTCTTCCCTTTTGATTTTCTAGCTCCAGATCTTTGCACATTTCATTATAGTACTCCACTTTGTCTTCTCAAGTTGCCCTTTGGAATTTCTGTTCACCTCTTTTACGTCATCATATCTTCCTTTCACTTTAGCTTCTCTCTGTCCAAGAGCAAGTTTTAGGGTCTCCTGACGTCCATTGTATTATTTTCTTTCTTCTTGTTGTCTGTGTTGTCTAGTGCTGCTGTAACAGAGATACTGCAGGTGAATGGCTCTAACAAACAGAAACGTATTCTCTCAGTTTGGGAGGCCAGAAGTCTGAGTTCAGATGCTGGCTCTAGGGAAAGGCTCTCCGTTTGTGTCTCTTGTTCCCAGGAGGACCCCAGCACAGGCTGTCTGGGTCCAAAGGACATTTTCTGCTCCTGGCTCCTCTGTCTTGGTGGTAGCAGGTCCCCCTTCTCTGCTTCCTTCCGTCTCCTTTTATCTCTTGTAAGATACAAGGTGTTTCAGGCCACACCCCAGGAAAACTCTGCTTACATAGGACCAGGGCTGTGATGGGACTAAGGATGTTGCAACCCACTCTTAATCTTAATCCTTTTATACCTGATCAACTTCTCACATCAGATCAGATCCTGGAGAAACAAGGCTGTCACTGAGAATCATGGCCCAGACAAGCTGACACGAATTCTGAGGGACACAATTCAATCCATGACCGTTGTCTTTTTAATGACCTTTTGCTTTCTTCATATATGATGTCCTTCATGTGATCCCATAACTCATCTAGTTTTTGGTCATTTTTGTTCAGGGCATCAAATCTGTTCTTCAGATAGTCTCTAAATTCAAGTGGGATATAATCAAGGTCATATTTGGGCTCTCATGGACTTGTTTTAATTTTCTTTAGCTTCAACTAGAACTTGCATATATGCAGTTGATGGTTTCCTGCCCTTTATCTGACTGATGAATTTGAGCTTCTCCATTGCCTCTTTCCACAGATGTAGTCGATTTGATTTCTATGTATTCCATCTGGTAAGGCCCACGTGTATAGTCGCCATTTATATTGTTGGAAAAGGTATTTGTAGTGAATAAATGGTCAGTCTTGCAAAATTCTGTCTTACAATCCCCAGCTTCATTTCTATCCCAAGGCCGTATTTTCCAGCCACTGAGATTCTTCTTTGTTTCCAACTTGTGCATTCCAATCACTAGTAATAGTTAACATATCTTGATTGCATGTTTGGTCAGTTTCTCACTGCAGAAGTTGGTGAAATTCTTCAGTTTCTTCATCTTTAGTGGTTGGTGTGTGAATAATAATAATAAATACCAGTGGTGTTACCTGATCTTCCTTGTGGACATAAGGATATTACCGTATCACTGAGAGCACTGTGCTTCAGGACAGATTCGAAATGCTCTTTGTGACCATGAATGCGATGCCATTCCTCTTCAGTCTGTCGTCCTGGCATAGTAGACCACGTGACTATCAGATTAAAAATGACCAGTACCAATCCATTTCAGATCACTAATGCCTAGGATATGCGTTCCATTTCGTTTTTGTCAACTTCTAATTTTTCTAGATTCATACTTTGTTTCAGCCTCTAATTATTAATGGATTTTTACAGCTGTTTCTTGTCGTTTTGAGGCACGCCACATCATCCAATGAGTGTCCCGAAAGCTTTGCTCCATGCACGTCATTAAGGTTGACTCTTCTTGAGGCAGCAGTTGTCTCTGGCCGTGTTTTGACTGCCTTCCAGCCTGAGGGGCTCATCTTCTGCCACTGTGTCAGTGTCCACTGCTGTTTCTAAGGTTCTCCCTGGAAAGTTTCTTGAAAGTAGATTGTCAGGTCCTCCTTCTTAGTCTCAGTCTGGAAGCTCTGCTGAAACCTGTGCAATGGGTGACCCCACAGGCATTTGAAATACCGGTGGTATAACGTCTAGCCTCACAGCAGCATGCAGCCTTCACAATATAACAAACTCATGTGATTGCTGTGTTTTCTGAATGGCGTTCAGATACCAGGCTCTGGGTACCACTTCCTGAAGGGCATGTGGCAGTCAGTGTGTACACTTGGGCAGCATGAGTGAATTTGGAGAGTAGGAAAGGTGTTCTGGGTTTTTGTTGCTATTGTTTTTAAACAGGAACAATTTCTAAATATTTAAGAAAAATTAGAAATGACACCTTTAAGGATTGAATTGTGTCCCCCACGAATGTGTTGTAATTCCTATTATCTCTACCTGTGCTCATAACCCCATTCAGGAGTGGGCTGTCTTTATTTTATAAACAAGGCAGCACTGGTGTAGGGTGTACTTTGAGTCAAGTCTTTTGGGATATGAAGGAAGCTAAACAACAGAGAGGATAGATGCCAAGACACAAGGAGATATCCAGGGAACCAGGAAGCACAAGCTGAAGAGACAAGGCCCTTCCTCCTGAGCTCAGAGAAGACCTTCCCCTAGAACTGGTGCTCTGACTTCAGACTGCTAGCCTCCTTTTCCTGCGAGAAAATTAATTTTAGTTTGTTCAAACCACCCCCTTGTGGTATTTCTGTTAGAGCAGCACTTGACAATTAAGACAGAAACCTTCAAGTCTTTGCTCAGATGTTACCTCAGGAAAGCCCAGCAGTCCCAGAATCCTCCCTCCATTGTTTTTCTCCACAGCACAGATGTTTCGGATGCTACTCGTGTATTTTCCTTCTTATCCTCTCTTCCTCGTGGATGTAAGCCTCACGAGGGCAGACATTTCTGTCCTGCTGTGTACCGTGTTCCAGGCAGGTAGTTGGGCAGACAGGGAGCGTGTGAGTGGGCAGATGAGCATTCTCAGCTTTTACAGCGTGACCAGTGAAGCTGCTGATCTCACTAAGGAGTAGTTCATCTTCATCAGCTGTCAGTTCTTAAAGATGAAGCTTTATCATCTGCCAAATTTTAAACACCTTTTTTCTCTCTGGTTAGATCCTGGATTTGAACAGTTTAAAATGTCAGAACGGTTGCATGGGAATTGGATCAAGCTCTACTTGGAGGAGAAGGGCTCTGAAGTCCTTCTGAATCTTGGCATGAAGGTCCTCAGGCAGTACCTGGATGCCCTGCAGACCCTGAGCCTGTCTCTGAGCAGACAGGTGGCGCAGTACGACATCTACTCGATGGCAGTGGGAGCTGTGCTGGTCCTGGAGGTGGGGCTCACGGGCTCAGCTATCGATTAGGTCAGAAAGGCAACCGAAGCGCTGCCCTATAAAGTATGTGCAGTGTCAGTAGGATGAAGCACGGGGAACAGAACATCTCACTCACTGAGCTTTGTTCCACAGAGGGGTCTGGTGGGCTCACTCACACTGAGCCAGCCACGCCTTCTTGGCAGCTAGCTGGAAATCCGCTCTAGGAATCTTAGTGGGCGTTACTGTCAGGATGGCTGATGTCAGGTCAGGTGCCTGGTTTGGTCTGCAGTAGGTGTCTCCCGACCTGGTCTGTGGACACACCTGTGGTCTCCCTGTCCAGGTCCTATCCCTGCTTCTGCTCAGCGTCCCAAAGGCTCTGGGCCCAGCGGCTGAGCTGGACGTGCCGCTGTCATCACCGCTGTTCTCCCTGCTCTTCTGCCTGACTCTCCTGGTCCTCTCCGCCGTCCATGTTGTCGTGTGCACCTCAGCTGAGAGCACCTGCTACTTCTGCAGCGTGCCCTGGCTGGTGGCGAGTGGGGCGGTGCTGCTGATGGCTGCGCTGCTCTGTGCGATCGTGTCAGCCGTTTCCAAGACTGGAGTCAGCACAAAGCATGCAGGGAAGGTAAGGCCTCCTGAGGGGGGGCGCTGCCTCTCTAGGCTGTGTCGTCTCCTCTCACTGCATCCCAGGAAACCCCAGCACGTGTGGCACTGAGCACATGGCAGAAGGGCCTAGTGAATGATGGCAGTACAGCAGCCACACTTGTGGACCCCTAGGGTTCCTGTTTGAAGATCCAGTAGTGCTGTTACATCGTGTCTGTCTGTGTGCAGAGGAAACAGCAGATTCCTGTGGCTCTAGTACCAGAGGTTGTAAAAGGCCGCACATTTCTGAGGAGAAGACATCTCTGTGTGGGGATGTGAGGGCACTGGGTCCATAAAGGTGGTGGATCACAGAGGAACAAGTCTTCCTAACAACTTGGGGTGGTCTCTCTGAGGATATGGGCTGATCCCTCTGATGATGGGCTGGTTTCTCTGAGGATGTAGTGGTTTCTCTGAGGGTAGAGATGGTCTCTGGGGATGGAGGTGGTCTCTCAGAAGATGGAGGTGGTCTCTGAGGGTGTGAGTGATCTCTCTGAGGATGGTGATGGTCTCTCAGAGAATGAGGGTGGTCTCTCTGAGGATATGAGTAATCTCTCTGAGGATGTGAGTGATCTCTCTGAGGATGGTGATGGTCTCTCAGAGAATGAGGGTGGTCTCTCTGAGGATATGAGTAAGCTCTCTGAGGATGTGAGTGATCTCTCTGAGGATGGAGGTGGTCTCTCTGAGGATGGAGGCGGTCTTTGAGGATGTGAGTGGTCTGAGGGTAGAGATGGTCTCTGAGGATGGAGGTGGTCTCTCTGAGGATAGAGGTAGCTCTCTGAGGATGGAGATGGTCTCTCTGAGGATGGAGGTGGTCTCTGAGGATGTGAGTGATCTCTGAGAATGGAGCTGGTCTCTGAGGATAGAAATGGTCTCTCTGAGGGTGGAGGTGGTCTCTGAGTATGTGAGTGATCTCTCTGAGAATGGTGATGGTCTCTCAGAGGATGAGGGTGGTCTCCCTGAGGATATGAGTAATCTCTCTGAGGATGTGAGTGATCTCTGAGGATGGAAGTGGTCTCTCTGAGGATGAGGTGGTCTCTGAGGATGTGAGTGGTATCTGAGGATGAAGGTGGTGTCTCTGAGGATGGCTGGTGGTGGTCTCTCTGAGGATGTGAGTGGTATCTGAGGATGGAAGTGGTCTCTCTGAGGATGAGGTGGTCTCTCTGAGGATGTGAGTGGTAGCTGAGGGTGGAGATGGTGTCTCTGAGGATGGAGGTGATCTCTGAGGATGGAGGTAGTCTCTGAGGATAGAGATGGTCTCTTTGAGGATAAAGGTGGTCTCTCTGAGGATGTGGGTGATCTCCGGGTATGGGCTGGTCTCCAAGGATGTGAACGATCTCTGAGGATGAGGATGTGAGTGGTCTCTCTGAAGATGGTGGTTATCTCTTTCGCCACCGTCAGCGTCAGTCACTTTGCCTCTCTGCTCACAGCTCGAATTCCCAGGTGAGGGTCCACACACCACTGATCAGGAAGCAGGGTTGGTCGTGAGTCTCCAGGACTGTGTCCAGAGAAAGGCGATTCCCCCCCAACAGAGCAGAGCTGGGAGGTTCTGGGCACAGGAAGGACGGGGTTCCTGGTGGTCATTGTGTGCATGTCCAGACGTCACTTAGTGTGTTTCCCCTCCACAGAACCTTGCTCCTTCTAGCTCTCAGTGGTCAGAGCTGGATCTCCTCATCCTGCTGGGGACCGCAGGCCATGTCCTGAGCCTGGGTGCAAGCAGCTTCATCGAGGAGGAGCACCAGACCTGGTACTTCCTTGTCAGCACCCTGTGCCTGGCACTGTGTCAGCAGGTTTATAGAAGCCACTTCCTTGGCAATAAGGAGGATCCACAGTGCAGCTCGTATGCAGATCCTGGGCTCAAGCTGGCTTTGCCGACTCAGCGGGACCGGGCCAAGGGCTGTGCTGTACTGCAGGACAACGGGGCACATGTGGCCACCTCTGCCTTTGAGCAGCTGGGCGATGCAGAGCGGTGGATGGCGCTGGCCAGCCCTTGGGCCGTGCTGTGCTGCTGCCGGCTGCTGCGGGCCCTGAACCAGACGGGCGTGCAGGGGGCCCACCGGCCTGACCTTGGGCACTGGCTCACCAGGTGAGGGCCGTCCCGGGAGCATCCAGAGAGGCTCTCTCCAAGTTTAGGCCTGTTTCATGTTGAGGATTGGGTCACATTTGAACTCAGAGCTGGAAACACACGGTTTTCAGTTGATGCAGGTAGAGGGTTCACCTTGAGCCTGATGTGGGGGGATGCAGAGTCAGCAGGACTGGGCCCCAGGCCTGTGTGTCACTGTGTGTTCTCCATGTGTCACTGTGTCACCAGGTGTGTCACTGTATCACTCTGTGCTCTGTTTGTCACCATGTTTGTTTTGTGTCATTGACTTTCTGTATCACTGCATCACTCTTTGTCACCATTTGTGTCACTGTGTGTCTGTGTCACTATAGGTTACCTGTGTATCTACATCTGTGTCACCTGTCACCACATCACTGTGTTCTCAGTGTGACTGTGATTGGTGTCGCTTGCTGTGTGTCAGCGTCACTGTGTCACTGTGTGTCACCATGTATCTCTATATCACTGATCTCTGTGTCACCACATCACTGTATTCTGGGTTACTCTGTCACTGTGTGTCTGTGTCACTGTGTGTCACCATGTATCTCTGTGTCACCACATCACTGTATTCTGGGTTACTCTGTCACCGTGTCACTGTGTGTCTGTGTCACTGTGTGTCACCATGTATCTCTGTGTCACCACATCACTGTATTCTGGGTTACTCTGTCACCATGTCACTGTGTGTCTGTGTCACTGTGTCACTGTGTGTCACCATGTATCTCTGTGTCACCACATAACTGTATTCTGGGTTACTCTGTCACTGTGTCACCTGTGTGTCTGTGTCACTGTCACTCTGTGTCACCACATCACTGTGGTACCTCTTCCAGTTCCAGGCTCAGGATGTGGTCATTGACTCTTGGGAGTTTGGCAGGGATGCCCCACGTCCTCACAGTGTCCAGTCGCTTTACTTCAGAGAGAGAATGGCAGGGAATCTAAGAGGCCCCACTTGCCACATAGGAAATATCATGGGTCTCATGGGGACCAGCCTGGTGCAGAAAGACTGACAGTTAGGCAAATGGGGGCAGTTTGGGGACAGCGTGGGGGTGAGCAGCCTCCCTGGATGGTGTTTCCCCAGTCCTCTGTCTCCCCACCTAGAAGGATAGCGTGGGGGGTGACCAGCCTCCCTGGATGGTTCTCCCTGTCCCCTGTCCTCTGTCTCCCCACCTGGAGGGACAGGGTGGGTAATGAGCAGCCTCCCTGGATGGCATTCCCCCAGTCCTCCGTCTCCCCAGCTGGAGGAGGGGTCAGAGCCAGTGCAGTAGAGGCTGGGTCTCCACCTCCTGGGCTCCGCACACAGGGCCAGATGAGTCAGTCTGGTGGGGAAGTGATGCTGTCTGAGGATTGACATAACAAGGAAATGGAACAGATGCTTTGGGAGCTGTGGCTACTGCCATCGACTGATAGCAACCCCCATTGGTTTCCAAGGCTGTCACTTCATGGAAGTAGATTCTTCATCTTCCTCCCTCGGAGCAGCTTGGGGCTTTGAACCACTGGCCTTCTGATTAGCAGCCAAATGCCTTACCCCCTATGGCACCAGAGTTCATTTGGGGAGCTGTGGAGTAAATCTTAATTGTCTGGCAGTGAAGCTGTAGAAGCGAGAGAGCGAGGAGGCAGCAGCAGGGTTGCTCAGAGTGTGGGTGCAGTGGCGAAGGAGCGGGGTACTTATGCTGTCATCGGGCTAAGTCACGAGGTGTGGCCAACACTGATGGAGGGGAGAAAGCAAAGTAGCTGGCGGAGCCAGCACTGGGCACTTGGGTCTGAACTGCTTACCCTTCCTCCAGCCACTTATCCTGTTGGGGATGTGTCCTGAGGAAGTGATGCAGAAAGGACAGGAGCTCAGCGTCTGGCATGCTGTCCCAGTGTTGCCATGTGGGCCACGGGCCCAACGCAGGAAGTGTTGGGTGCACACTGCACACTGCACACACCTGCGATCTCATAGCCGTCCTACAGTTAGGACGCTCACTGGCTCCTTGTCGAGGTGCAGCATCGGGTGCTGAACATGCAACTGGACAGGGGCCCAGTGCAGGGTCACCATGCTGAGCCTCAGCCCAAGGTGCGGGAGAATGGCCGGTGTGGACAGGTGCCTGGGGGAGCAGCTGGCATAGATGGGGGCTCAAAGCTGGTCACCATGTGAAGCCTCGGCCTAAGGGGGGAGGATGGTCAAGGTGGACGGGTGCCTAGGGAGTGGCTGGCACGGATGGGGGCTTGAAGCTCGGTCACCATGTGGAGCCTTGGTCTGAAGTGGGGTCCAGGTGGGAACATGATGCTGGATCCCTGCATCCAACCTTAGCCTGAGGTGAGGGAGCTCCATATCCAGCAGTGACCAGGGCCACGAGCCTTAGGCCTGCAGGGCAGCCACGCTCCCTATGTTGTGAGAGTCAGAGCATGTGGAGAGAGTTGGGCTGCTTCCCCCCAGGGTACGGGAGTAAGCATGGCCTGCCAGTGCAGGCTTCTCCCACTGGCCCTATGCCTGCTTAGAGGATGTGCCCCTCTCTTGCCATCCATGCCCTTCTCTGGACAGTGGCCATCAGTGCAGGAGGGCATAGTGTCCTGTCCCTCCAGTGGCCCTGGGGCCATGTTCCTGCCCTTCAGAGGCAGCAGTCCTGGGGTTGACGCATCTCACTGCTGTTCCACATGGTCGTGGGGGCTGCTAAGGAGAGCCCAGTGAGTGACAGGAGTGTAAGGAGGGGCCTGAGTCTACCGCCAGCTCTTGGCAATGCCCTCCAAGTGTGACTTGTCAGTGACTGAGTGCATAAATGGGACTGACGCACAGGCATGTGGTACAGGCAGCTGCTCTCAGGGTGGGACAGATGGGAGTGAGGTGATGGTTGGCACAGTGGTTGGTGCAGTTCTGTCCAGAATCTGCTTGCTGTGGCTCAGGGAATATGGGCTGTCCTGGCAGTAGGCACCCAAGTGGGGCACAGTGTCAATTCGGGACCCCAGCAGCAGGCTTTCAGTCCAGGGCCTCACAGGTGGGCCAACCTTCTGGGCCCTCGATGGCGGGCCGTCCTTCTGAGGCCTCAATGGTAGGTCATCCTTCCAGCCCTCGATGGCAGGCCATCCGTCCAGGGCCTCGATGGTGGGCCGTCTGTGAATGAGAAAGAGGACTCAGCTAAACACCCATGTGTCTAGTTTAAATAACCAGCAGTTTTCTCTTCAGCTGTTTGTCATCTGTTCTTAGAAACCCCCCATGTGCGCTTCAGTGGCCCTGTGCATGGCTGCTCACTGCGTCTTTCTGTCCCATTTCAGCTCTGATCACAAGGCTGCACTCTCAGTCCTGGCAGCCCTCTCACTGCTCACCATCTTCCTGTTGGTCCAAAGGAGGTGCTCACCAATGTCCAAGGTGGCCCTGGCACTTGGCCTGCTGGGCGTCTACTGCTATCGGGCCGCCATCGGGAACGTGATGTCACCGTGGCAACGAGGCAACAAGGACATCTCAAAGTGAGTGCCACTGACGACCCGTGGTGATCTGCGTGTTTGTCAGCAGTGACGCAGCCTAACCAGGAGTGCTGTGGTCAGCCAACTTTGTTAGCAGTTTTTAGGAGAGAGACAAATAGCTTGGAAGCAAGATCACTGAGATTGATTTTTAAAGTTAAAACAAATCAAGTCTCCTGGGTATATCATGGAACAGAGGGGTGTGGGTTGGTTTTAAGTTACCTATAGCATGTAGTTGCCAGGATTCACTCTTACAGAGTCAGGAAATGACTGTAGTAATGGGGATCATGAGTGAAACTTCATTGTGATGAGGAAATGAAGCTGGCTAGAAACTTCAGCTTTCCAACGGTTTGCAGTTAAGGGGTCAGGAGCCTGTGAGGCTCAAACAGACCAGCCAGGAGGCTGTTGCAGTAAATGCAGTGAAGCAGCCTGGAACCCTGCTTGGCGTGCCCCAGTGGCAAAGCTGTGGTGAAGAGCTGCTTCCCTCTGAGCAGAGGGCTGCTGGGGCGCCCTTCGGAGAGCAGTTGGTAAAGTGCATCAGGGACCTGGATGACCTCTGGCTAGGTCAGCCCCTAGAAACTTATCTTAAGACGTGTGGCGGGGTTCCTCTGTGTGGCCTTTTGTCTCAGTTCTTTGGAAAAACAGAGTGAGAGCTCTTTCCCCTAAGCCCTGAAAAGTGGCCTTTGCCTGAGGTTTCTACCCCAGCGGGTTTGATGCTTTTGACAGATTGATGGACATATCCTGGGTAAACTGTAATCATCTTGGTTTGATAACTTTTGTCTGGTGTTGGGCTGTAGCCTGCCCTGTGATCGGTATGCACCTTGCAGGGATTGGTCAGTAGACTATGTAAATGAGGTGTCTGTGGCCTACCAAGAGGGAATTGGTCATTTCATGGCCCTGATGGGAGGGCCATTCCTTGAAACTGACGAGGAATTGTGTATATAAGCAACCAATCCCACAAAGGTGTTTCAGACAGAACGAAGCAGGAAGGAAAGCAGAAGGAAGGGAAGAAAGAAGAAGCAAAGAAAGAGGAGGTGAAGACTCTTCTGAAAGAGCTGTAACGCCGGTCAGGGGCTGTAACATGGAAGACAGTGAGAGGTCTGGGAGGGCCCGGGGCAGTCAGTGGGGACAGATGGCAGGGCCGAGAGGAACTTGTCCCCAGGGGTCCAAGAGGGGCCAAGAGAATTGGCCAGCACTGAAGAAGAGAGACTTTGCCTGTGTGCTTCCTGATCCTGGTCCCGAGCTGTAGCCTGTTCCTTACAGATACCTCAACCATGATACAATCTATGAATTCTGTGCAGCCATTGCAATTGATTATGGAAGAGAAGTAGAGAGTGCTGTGGGAGGGATGGCGGGTATCAGAATTGGTACCAAGGTTGGAGGGAAGGTAGAGGGCTACTCTTGATCCACATTATCCCCCTTAAAGTTAGACGGGTACTGAGACTGCTCCTCCTACCCCATTTTACCCGTGGTCTGAGATGTAGCTTATGGTTGAGATGCTCACGGAAGTGTTAGCACAGTTGCAGAAAATGAAAGGCAAGGTGTAAGTGTAAATAA